TACTAATTTTTAGACAAATTATATATAAAAAATTTCCTTTTCGTCCCTGTAAATTATTATTGCTCAACGAAAGGGCCAAAGCATAATTGAAGTGGGGCAGTCGGCTTCTCGTCGATCATTCAAGTTAAGAGGCGGAGAGCAGGTAAAAGATAAGTACTACTGGATGAGAAAGAAAAAGTAGGAAAAGGAAATATCACACATAAGCATAATTGTGTCCGTTAAGCAGCTGTCCATATACAAGTGCGGCGTGGACGTGCTACAGTTGTCTCTGGGACGGTGATTCGTCTGCATCACATAATCGATATCTCTTTCTTTTTTTTCCTTTTTTTTTTTACAGGGGAATGTGCGAGGGGTAAAGGAGGTTGCATACTGCATTTTTTAATTTTGATGGAAGTCATGAGTTTAACTATATCCGATTAAAGTAATTGAAATTGTGAGTGCTAATCGATATCTCCTTTTTAAACTTAATATGGCTAAGAATATATTAAAAGATTATAAAAAATTTATATTTATATTTATTATTTTTTAAGCATAATTTTAATGAGTTATTAAAAATAAAAAACTTTATAATTTTTTGACATTAAAGTATTTTGAGAGATTAAAAATAAAAATAAAAAGGATAATCAATTTGTAATAAAACTTATAACTTATGAAATAACCAAATAAAAAAACATAACAGAAAAATAAATAATGAGGTAGATAAAAAAAAGGGACCACATAAGAGAGATAAAAAAAACGGTGAATGATGAAAAAGAAAAGAATGAGAGGGGACTCAATTTTTTTATATGGAAATTTTAAATCACATTTCAAAATTTTTTTAATCTAAGATCCAGTGTTAAATTTGTCCTATTCCTGTCATAAAATTATATTTTTTGAAATACAAATTAGAAAAGTTGAGCAGAAAAAGAATAAAGAAATAAAAAATAAATTACCAAACTTTTGTCAAAAATTTAATAAATAAATAATCACTTTGTCCCTTACTAATTCAAACTACAGAAGAAAAGGAGTAAAATAAAAATTTCAAACGGATAAATGGTGGTAGGAACTTGGTTTAAAATAAAAAGATCACGATACCGCTAAAACAACTAATATACCATTAAAACCCTTGTATAAAGTCAAAACAATAAATATAATATAATTTTTTTATTAAAATATATAATAAAAGTGTAATAAATATTAAAAAAATTAAAATAGATATTAATTTTAATATTGTTGTTATGTAGATATATTTTATTAAATAATTTATAAATTAAATATTATTTTTTAAAAAAACTTTAATTTATTTTTTGAAAATATAAATTAAACAAATCTTATAAAAAAATAAAATAAAAAGAAACGAAATTAAGTGATGAAAAAAAAAAAGAAAAAGAAGAAGAAGAAGGCGGCTTCAGGTTCTTATATTTAGATTTCGTCTCGTTCCTGTAAATTATTACTCACCGACACCCAACAGGTCCACACTCCAAAATAAAACTGAAAGTGTGATAGGCTGACAGCTTGCTTCCGTCAAATTATTACACGAGAGGCAGAAAGCAGCAAAAGGGGAGCCCGACTCGAAGAGAAAGGAAAAGTAAGAAAAAGCAAATTGGCAATTAATATCACAGAAACATAGGGACTGTTTGATATAATTGGTTGGAGTTTGAGTTTTTTTTATATTATTTATAAGTGATAAATTTAAATTTTTATTTAAGAAAAAATTTTAAAGTAATTTTTAGAAATAAAAAAAAGTGAATAAAAAATTTTTTTGAAAAATTTAAATTTAAAATTTTTAATATTTTACTGTTTAAAAATTTTTTATAAATAAAAAAAATAAAAAAATATAAATTTTTAAAAGACAAATTTAAAGTGGTGAAATATAAATAGGCTCGAGAAAGAAACTGGAACTGATGGGAAGCTCCACCAAACAAGCCAATAATTGCATTGGTTAGGCTTAGGCCGGACTCCCGTATGCGCGCACTACTACGGCAGCGTCTGGGCTATGAAACCAGGGGAGTGAATAAGAAAAGATGTGTAAAGGATAGACTGTCTTTTTTTTTTTTCTTTTTTTTTTTTTACTTTCTAAAAAAGAAAGCCTTTTATAAAAATTTTGTAAAAATATTTTAATATTTTAATATTTTATAATTATAGTAAATAACAAGTAAAATGGTATTTTAAATTTTTTTTACACAAATTTTAATTTAATAAAATTTTCACCTCTTTAAAAAAAAATTTCTATTCTTTTTTAATTAATTTTTATTATATTAATTTTTTTATTAAATATAATAAAATTAAGAATAAAATAAAAATTTATTAAAAATTTATTAAAAAATTTAATAACTTTTAATTTATTATTTTTAAATTTTTTATTTAATGATTTTTAACTACATTTTTGGGGAAAAAAAAAGCTCTCTTTAAAAAGTTAGCCCTTCCTAAACATCCTCTTTGAGATGTACCAAAAAAAAAAACATCCTCTTTGAGTGAACCCTTTACCAACGCGACTAACTCTCAGTCTCTCAGGGCCTTGGTTTTACTCTCAAGGCGACATTTGGTTGTTTTAGTTTATTTAGTAGTTGTAAATTTGTAATGCTACATCTGCATTACAGGCAAAGTCATAACTAGATCAGTAACCAAGAAACAAAGAGAATTAAAATTATATATAATACCATCTCAACCGCCAGAAATTTCATGTCATCCACGTAAGAAGAGTTGATTTACTACATAAGTTGAAAGGTTGGTTGGCGTTTGTTTTTAGTTGAAGGGTTGATTTACCAGCATTTAACGAGTATAAGGGCTGATTTGCCCTTAAATTTTGTCTCGTTGCTACGAGTTAATTGCTCACAAGTTTCGTGAATGATTCACTCGAGGTGGAGTCTGCAGAGGGCAGGAAAAGGGGCCTGGCTATGGGAAAATTCAATGCATTAAGATTATGAAAAGTTATTAAAATTTTAATTTAATTTAATTATTAAAATAATTAATAATTAACAAAATATTTAATATTTGTTATTTAATATACTAAAAATAGTCTATAAATAATTTTAAAATATTATACTTCTTTGATTTATTTTTAATAGTTTTAACTTAATTTTTTTTATCATTTGAATATGAATTTTAAAAAATTTTAATAATTTATATGAATAATAATTAAAAAATAGATAATTTTTATTAGTATTTTTATTAAAAATTTGAATTATCATTTATATAATATATTAAATTTTTATGTAAATTTTATATTTAAAAAATTAAAAAATAAACTAAACTTATTAAAAATAAATAGAGGAAGTAACTAGTTGTGTAATATTATGTTTAAATTAAGAGGAATGAATGGGAGGAGAGTGTTAGAATCAGTTATTAAATTTTGATTAATTTATTTTAATAAAAATATGTAACACTTATTTTATTATGAAAATCTGTGGATTAATTAAATTTTTAAAAAATCAAAAAGCAAATAGGAAATATCACAGAAACATAATTGCATTGGCTAAGCACTAAGCAGAAGTCCATATGCGCGTATAGCTACGGTGGTGTCTCTGCTCTATAAAAACAGGGTTGCATTTCCATTCCTCCTTTTATCTGTGCTTTGTTTTCTCACAAATACAATCTCTGTTTGCCTCTCAGGATTCTCTGAAGTCTGCTATCTTTCTGCGTGGCTAAGCATTTTAGGATCAGATCTGGTAAGTGAGTACGTTTTTTTGCAGATTCTTCGTCAACATTTCAACCTATTTTTAGTCCAGTTGCTGCTCCAATCTCTGCTATCTCAACACTATTCCCCTTTTCTTTTGCAGAGTTTAATTGTGCTAGCCATCTTTCTCTGAGTCTCCAAGCATAATGGCTGAACTCGTCCTCAACTTCGTCACCCCAATCATAGAGAATGCAGTTTCCAAAGCAATTTCACTTGCTTCTGCACAGATCAGCATGGCGTGGGGTCTGAAGAGGGAGCTTGGAAAGCTTTCTCGAACACTAACTATGATCCAAGGATTGCTTCAAGATGCGGAAGGGAGGCAGGAAAGCAATCCAGCCATATGGAATTGGTTACAGGACCTCAGAGATGTAGCTTATGATGCAGTGGATGTACTGGATGAGTACGGTTATGAGGTTCTTAAGCACAAAGTTCAGGTTCAAGGCCGAAAGAGGAAATAGGTGCGCACCTTATTTAGTCTTGTCAATAGCACTGCCTTTCGTTTGAACATGGCTGATAAAATTAGAAAGATTAATGAGTCTCTGGTTAGAATCAAAGACAATGGGGTTTTGGTTTTGCTGATCAGATGTAATGACCAAAGTCATTCTACTGCCAGTGTTAGGCAATATCCTAAGACAGATTCCATCCTCGACTGTTCAAAAGTTGTTGGAAGGCATAATGATGTCTTAAAAATTGTCAACATGTTAGATAACATAAGGAGTCAACATGTCCTCTCTGGCATTTCAATAGTAGGCTTTGGGGGCATAGGCAAGACAACATTAGCGAAGTCAATATGCAGTATGGTAAAAGAACAAAAGTTGTATGACCTGGTGGCTTGGGTTTGTGTGTCTGAGGAATTTGATGAGAAAATAATATTAGGAGATATGTTAGAATACCTTGATAGTTCTGTTGGTCGTATGAATAATATAGATGCACTTATTCAGAAGCTTGGGCAGGAGTTAGAAAATAGAAAATTTCTTCTAGTTCTTGATGATGTGTGGAATGATGATAGAGACAAGTGGGATAGTTTCATATCTCGTTTGTTAAAAATTTTAAAAACCAGTGGAAACTCCATTCTTGTGACTACTCGTAGTGTTAAGGTAGCATCCATAATGAAGGCACTTCCAATGCAAAAACATGATATGGTAAAGCTATCAGATCATGAATGTTGGTTGATAATTGAGGACGTAGTTCTCAGATCATCAACGGAAACTTCAATACCTTTGGATTTAGAAGGTATTGGACAAGAAATTGCCAAAAAATGTGGGGGGTTGCCATTAGTTGCAAGTGTAATTGGAGGAACATTGAGTCGTGAAATGAAGACAGATAAGTGGCAAGAGATTCTTGATGATGAAGCATGGATGTTGCAAGATGAAAATAAGAAGATTTTATCTGTGCTGAAAATGAGTTTTGATCGTTTGCCTTCATCCTTTTTAAAAAAGTGCTTCTCTTATTGTTCAATTTTTCCCAAGGATGCTGTCATTTTCAAAGATGATTTAATTCAACTCTGGATGGCTCAAGGGTTTGTTCACAGATCTAATGGAGGCCTCGTGGAAATGGAGGATATTGGTGACGAGTACTTCAATGAGTTGTTATCTAATGCTTTATTCCAAGATATTGAATTGGATTTTTATGGAAATATTGAATCTTGCAGAATGCATGATCTAGTGCATGATCTTGCATTGCTTGTTTCAAAAGGTGAAACCTTGATTTGGGATACCAGTTGCAACATGGATGACCAAAATTGTAGTACTATTCGACATTTAAGAGTCAAGTCTGATGGAAAGGATCTTCCAACCATTCCAAAAAGTATTGCTCAAAGGTTGCATTCTTTGTTTTCGGAGGTTGGTGTCTTCTGTAGCATGGCATCAGATCTTAAAAGCTTGAGATCTTTAAAATTAATGAGAGATAAGGAAAAGGAGTTGCCAGATTCTCTCGGAAAATTGAAGCATTTGAGGTACCTTGACATCTCAAGAACTAATGTCATAGCAGTACCAAAATCCTTCTCTAAGCTCTATAATTTGCAGACTTCAAAATTTACCGACGGCTATTATGTTGAAAAGCTTCCCAAGCTTCCCAATGGCATGGCAAATCTCATCAGCTTGAGGCATATCTATTCTGATCATCCATGGGATATATCCATTATGCAGTTAACTTCCCTTCGAACACTACTATCACCCTTTGTTGTCGGCACAAAAAAGGGATGCCAGATTGAAGACCTTGGATGCATAACCAAACTTGGAGGAAAACTAGAGATTTTGAAGCTCGAATATGTAAGATCCAAATCAGAAGCCTCTAAAGCAAACCTGAAAGAAAAGACAAAATTGCATCAATTGCAATTATGCTGGAATAGTCGGCATGAAAGAGCAGTCAACAATAACAACAATGATGAAGAGGTTCTAGAAAGCCTTCAGCCTCATTCAACTTTGAAAAGCCTCACTATTGATGGTTACATAGGAAAGAGGTTTCCATCTTGGATGGTGAATGATGTCAATAGTTCTGGTTCTTCATTCCTTCTTGACAACATGGTGGAGTTGGAGTTAATT